CTCAATGATACATTCGAATTCGAATGTATCGATGTAAAAAAAAAGTATCTGAAACTTTCATAAACTATTCTCGTTAAGGTTCGTGGCTATGAAAAATTGCAAATCGATACTTGAAAATTAGTATCCCTGAAGAGAATCACTATATTGTATTGAATAATACTGTAAAAAAAAATGCAATATATAGATTTCTTTATTTAGTTCAATAAGAGTACGACCAAAGAATATCCATTGATGAAATCTATATGAAAAATAACTTTAAATAAGTATCGATTACCAGTTAATTCAAATTATTCAATTGAATTAATATACAGATATTCGAGATTTTTAATGTATAGTTATGTTTATGATTCATTTTGAATATTATTTTATAAATTCTTTTTTTACTTATGAAATAAAAGAAAATTTTACTGACCAAGTCGATTTGTTTCTTCAGTTGCATCAACACAAAAAATTTTTTCTCCCCATTTAAAATAATACATATAACAACCAATTTTATGATTTCTACCATATAAATCTTCTCGATGTTTAGCTTCATTTTGTGTTAATAATTCTCCAGCATATTCAACAATATAATCATTACGATAAAATTTTTTTGTTGTAAATACTCCACGTCCTCTTATTGTTCCCGTATCACGTCCTTCTATACCATCTTCACATTGGCTTTCAATAAATGAATCAAATGATGTTGCTGATTTATATTTTGTTATACCTATACGTTTACTTCGACGTAATGTTAATAAAATTTCTTCATTTAAAAGTTTTTTTGCTAATATTAAAGATTTTTCACTAGAATAAAAAAAAAAAGTGATGCCGAAATTAATTTATAAAATTAAGTAAGAAATTTATTCTTCTTACTTATCAGTTATAGATGTTGGCAAAACATCATTTTCAGGTATAGATATATCAGGTGCAAATAAAAATTGACCTTTTAATAGGCCTTTTCTTGGTCGATCAGGTTTAACATGTGCAGCTGATTGAAAACGTTTAGCTGGACGGACGGGAATCATCTATAGAAATTGACCAAAACAAAAAGAAACATGTAGTTATTGATGTAAATTCTTTAAGTAAATATTTTTCTTTTTGTCTTCTTTTATTGACATTGAAAAGCTTGATCGTGATTAAAGCAATCATAAAAAGATTTTTTGACACAAAGAAACATTCTTTTGAATTGGTTCAATTTTAACCATCCATTTATTATTCAATAGAGGTCAGCTAATGACATTAAATTCTGAGAAAATTCTTCTTATTGATAACTTTTGTTCGAGTGTTTATATATAATCGATTGTTAGATTTAATTATGTAAATAAAAGTTTGAAATAAATTTAAGAAGAAAACCAAATTTTAGGAATTGTAATCTGAAATTTTACCAAAAAAAATAGATCTCATGATTTTTATAATATTCTGAAAGTTTCACTGAAAATGGATACTTGTTTTTACTAAGCTAAGAGAATTGATTTCCAACTGTATACAATAGCATATGAATCAAAAAATAACATTAGAATTAAAGTTATGATTTATAGGTCAACCGTTTTACTTGACACTTTGAAATTTGCAGAAGTTGTTAATTATTATTGGCTCTATCGATAGACAACAATATCAGAGTAAGATTCGTCATTTCGATGTTTTTGATGAAAATATCTTGTTCTAACAAGAAAATACAGTAGAACGGTAATAAATCTGCACCAGAAGATCATGAGCCTGAATCCTTTTAATTTTTTCTTAATGTCATATACAACTACTCAGGTCGAATCGGTATCCGACAGTTAAGGATGTTCACTATTCAGTAATATCGATGTGTACCGACTTTTAAAATGTAATTTAGTCAATTATTATTCGATTAATACTTTTAAAAAAGGACCTTGTGAATAGTTTTTTTTTAAATATTACTTATTCTTTTTAGTTAACTATAATTAGTAAAGTAGTTATTTTTAATGAAATACTTTTTTTTATAAAGACTCACAATACAGGAGCTAAGACACTTTTTTAGACAACAGTGCGAGATTTCATAAGTATCTATCTGCCTGTAAAATTTCAATTTTTTTTTCAAATATTTATTGATGTTCTAGAGAACACAATCGTGTGAATAAATTATCATTCTCTTATGATCTTGTGTTTTTTTTACGAAAACTTTGATTCTATTATTCATTCAAAAAGAAAATGTGTCCCAATTGTTTTTTGTATAAATCAAGAACACAAACAGCTAAAAATCTGAGGCTTTTACCAATTGATACAGTACAGCAAGGGACACACAAATTATTAAAAGAACCAATGATCTCTCATATTTTGAAGATGATGTATTTTCGAAATTTTTCAAAGATTCGACTATAACATGACGGTTTTGTGTGGAGGATACTAAATAGAAGATCAAGAGATCAATGAACTTCAATAAAAATGATATATCTCTTGAATAAGAATAGCTATAAAAGTGGAACTTGTATAGATCGATAGAAGATTCTCTTCGGTTTATCTATTCATGGTGCAAGAATTGAAAAATGATTCAACTGTCATCAATTGAAATTTAAATATAAAAAATTGAAGATAATAATATGTCTCTAACTTCTTAAAAACAACAAACGATAATAACATCATAGTGACAAAGCAACTAAATATAGGATTTGAAGTACTTTTTGTTCTTGTAACAATTGTTAATTAAACTGTAAAAAAAACATATTTAATCTTTAGATAATAATCTTTGTACATGTCTTTTTTTTTCTTTCTTTCATAAATTGTAATCATACATGACAAATTACTTTATTATTGTCTACTTTTATTTTAATTTTCTTCAATAACTTTCTCTCATTTACCTGATTACTTATTCCAGTTCCGCCTTATTCTCACGTGCACACACAATCTAGTTACAAATTAGACAACTCATCATATTTACTAAATAGTCATTATTTTATTGCATCAATAATCAAAATATGCACATAAGTTAATTGCTTTCGGTGCCATACGGTTCTTCTCACATAATAATTAGTATGTGAGAGAGACGACGACAACGACGTTTTTTTTTTTGTTTCCAACTTGCCCACCCCTCATCAACATTCGATTTTCACACATCTATCTAATAGGATTGAAACATGCAAGAGTGCATGCATGGTTTTTTTTCATTGTTCATGCATATGAAAAAAAAAATACGCAAAATACAAAAAAAAACAAGAAATTTTGTTTATTTTGTTTTTTTTTAATCATTTATCGTGTGTACAATCTATTTGAATAAAGTAAATGTTATCTTCATTGATGATGAGTAAAGTAGTACTAATTATCATCCATTAGAGAGTCTATAGATTTCAATCGCGTACAAGTGAAAAGAACGACTTATAACAATCATTTCACTGTCATTATATGTTGTACTCTGCTTGAAAGTATGCCTTAAGGCAAATGAATGGACAAGCAGTAGTAACTTGTCATCTGGTCGCCAGAAAGAAAGTTGGGAATGGCATTCAATCTACTCACTCGTTGCTGTTTTTTTTTTTGTTCTACCTACTGAACGACAGATTAGTAGTATGTTAAACTTTCTCTTGAACATATCATAAGTCACATTTCATGATTGTCAATGTCACACAAGCTTACAGATGGTTAATCATATTGAAATATGATCTCTGTTCAATGTTATTTATTATATTGAACAGTTGAAATATAAAGACATATCTTTCGATATGTTTGATTTCATTGTAAAAAACTAAAAAAAAGAAAAACTATCATCAACAGGATTTAATAAAGAAGATAAACACATCAGAGCTAAAGAAATGATGTCACATCCACTTTCTCTTTCTTTACAACTTATATTTGATTAAATCAATCTTTGCTTCTTTTGTTTATAGATAAGGAGTAAAAGGAAATGCTCGAACGTGTTAATGGAGCTTGATGATGATGATCAGAGTACCCTGGAGCTTAAAAAACGACTAGCACTTTTCGACTATACATCAAGTACAATATTCGATGACGTTCACCCTTAAGGCAATGAGATGAAAGCTTTCTTTCTTGCTTTTTTTTTGGGCTCCGTCGTTCTATCCAGATGTAAAGGCGGAGCCGCCATCATATTCTACTCATTTTGCAGACTCCAATATTCGCTTGGATAAATCAAATACAAACAATGATACGGTTTGTTTAAATATATAAACATTTTTTTTCAAGAATAAAGATGCTGTCAATTAATTATTTGGTCTTCTTCTTCTTCTTCTTTTTTTCATCAACAGCGATCTAAAAAAAGAAATGAGAAGGAATGTTCAGCATTTTGTTTTGTTTTTTTTTTTCTTTTTTTTATACAAGGTGCAAAACTAACATTGACCATATGTCATTTAATGCACCTATCATTGAAGAAAGAGAACTTTTAAGAGCATATATTTTGTTTATATGTACTCTTGTCTAAATGAAATAATTGCTTTTCGATTCTCATTCAAAGATAATAGCTCAGCGTCTATCTTAATATTGTATATTGAACTAATCGCACACACACATATATACATATATACTATATGTATATGTAGGTTAAAATCCATTTGAAGGATAAACATAGTTGTCTCTTGTCAATTTAACCTCAACCATCAACTTCTTCAAGATTGAACGTGATGGTTAATGTACGATAAAACGGGAAAAAAAAATCTTCTTTTTTCTATTTCTCTCATTTATGTTCATCGTTTGGTCGCTTGCTTAGAGAAAAAAAAAGCGTTTTGTTGTTTGTCGATGTGTGCTCTTTCGAGCGATCAACCAATGAAAAAATGGTCCGCTCAACCAACAGGAAACGGGAAAAGAATAATAATAATAATAACTACTCTCCTCCCCTTTAGAATGTCTGTAAGCACTAGGAAAAAAAAGAGAAAAAGAAGAAAAAGCTTCTTTTCCTTTTTTTCTATTCTTAGAGTTTTTTTTATTATGCAAAAAAGAAACGAGAGTAACTAACACACTCACTAATATAGATTTATTTTGTCGGTGATTCATATATTCAAAGAAAAAAGATATAACGTATACTCTATACTTTTCCATAGATCATCAACATTATGAAGAATACTTTTAAATTATCTCGTTATTTACCACATCATTATCAAGATAATGGCTACAATGATTATCCATCAGGTAAGAGTAAAGAAAAGGCAAAAAAAAAGAAAAGGACTTATTTTTCTTTTCTTGGTTTTTCTTTTTCTATTAAGATACAAAATATCCATCAATATGTGCAGGTTGTAGTTGTCAAATATATGATCAATATTTATTAAAAGTTGCACCTGATCTTGAATGGCATATTCAATGTTTAAAATGTTACGAATGTGGACAATATTTAGATGAAACTACAACATGTTTTGTTCTCGATGGAAAAACTTTTTGCAAATTTGATTATATACGGTACATTTCTTTTCTAAACGGCATTTTGTCAGAGCTAACTATGAATGAATTATTTACTTGACCGGTTTGACTTTCTTTTTTTTTTTGACTCTCGCTTGAACAGCTTGCATCCGAGTGAACAATACAATGGTGCATGCAGAGATTTCACTTAGTAGAATTAATTCTATTGATAAACATGCAATTATTTCTCTTTTTTTTTTTTTTTCTTTGTCTTCTTTCAATTAGATTGTTTGTATCTAAATGTGCCAAATGTCATCAATCATTTTCTAAAAATGATTTATTTATTCGTACAACATTTTATCGAAGATTTCATACAGATTGTTTTCGTTGTGATCATTGCGATCGTTTACTTACATCGGGTGATGAATATTATATTCATAGACAAAATGAAATTTTATGTCGACAACATTTTCAACAATTATCATTAAATGAAACAAGTAGTACAGAATCAAAATCATCATCATCATCATCATCGGCAGATTCAGTTGGAATTCCAACAGCAGGTAAGAAAACGTATGCCGTGCATACACACTTACATCCGTTCGGATGTGACTATGGCGTGAAGGAAGGAATCGACGGCATGCTTTTCATGACGGAAGTCAGATCAGTCTGGGGTGCTCTCTCTTTTCACACTATATATATTAAGATTACTAATCAGTCAATACCGTTTTTTTTTTCTTTCAAACCGGATACAGTCAATAAATGCACGTGTCGATTGATAAGAGATATTTTCAATTTTATTATGATCAGAGTAAAAGACAATAATCAATTTTTTTTTTCTCTTTTTGAATTAAATCGTTTTTGATAGTGTTGTCTATTGAGAATTCAAGTCAATATCAATTGATAGTATGCGAAGAGTTTCACTTCATTAAATATATATAGACAGTCATCATCATCATCATCTGTTCGTATTTTCTAACGAGACTATATTCAAAAGCTTTATAGTGAATTCATTTGAAACAAAAAATATTTTATCATTATTTTATAGCAACAAACAATAATATTCCATTACGCCCACCACCAACATCATCATCTTCATCGACAGCATCAAGTTCATCAAATCAAGTAACAGTAGGACTTAGTAGTTCGAAATCAACAAATAATGGAAATGTTATACGTAAAGATAAAACAACACGCATGCGTACAGTATTAAATGAAAAACAATTATTAACCTTACGTACATGTTATAGTGCAAATCCTAGACCGGATGCACTTATGAAAGAACAACTTGTTGAAATGACACAATTATCACCACGTGTTATACGTGTTTGGTTTCAAAATAAACGTAACAATCAAAAGATGCTTTTTTTTTTATTTTTGAAAAAAAAAAATTATTTTTTTCTGTTCCAATAGGATGTAAAGATAAAAAGAAAAGTATATTAGCAAAACAAAATCAAGAACAACAAAAAGTTTTATCAAGTCTTAATCATGGTATACCATTAGTTGCATCATCACCTGTACCAAATGATATGAATATTGGTTTACCACCAGCATCACTTGTTGAAGTACAATATCATTCAGGTGGTCCATGGAAAACTTTTGGTGAAACATATCCTTCATATACAAATGATTATCATTCTCATAATCATCAACATCATTTACAACATCAACGACAACAAAATTTTCATGATAATGTTCTTAGTGGTTTTGCATCCGAAGATGATAGCAATTGTTTTGATGCATCACAATATAGTGAAGAACGTAGTGACAATAGTTGTGATGGAAGTGCAACTGGTCAACTAACACTCTTGTAACTTTTCTTTTCGTTTTTTTTTTCTTCTTTTGCTTGTAATAAAATTCAATTTCTTGTATTCTATCAAGCGTATAATTCAATTTATGACTAAATCAACAATAACACTTGACTAGAAAAAGTCTTATATAATAATTTTGTTATCTTACTCAGCAAGAATTATACATATGTAAGATGACCAATAATAATAATAAGAATAAATTATTATATCAGATGATGTGTCAATAGTCACACACCTTATCTGTTATATTTATATGTATATGCCCATCTTCATTGTCACCATTCGATCCATTAACACATTGAAAAAAATATATAAGAAAAAAAAAAAAAGCTACCGATCAGCTTCATTAAGGTGTTGATAGAGATACAAACTTATTTTCGTCGTATATCACACTTAAAATGTGCTATAGATCAAAGAATTTTCTATTTAACCTTTTTTTTTGTTGTTGTTGTATAAAAGCAGAAAATTGAAAAACACAACATATCGAGACAATATGGAAACGTTTAAATAAATGCCGCTATTATTGTCAATAAATTCATTCTATAAACATCCATAGGAACTTTGATTGATGTTATTGTAGTAATATGTCGGCGACATTTTTCTATGTGAGTTCTTCTTTTTTTTCTTAACCGTATCATCTTCTTTTTCTTTTTTACGAATAGATAATGCACATGAATGAATTCATTGAATTAATTCGATTAGTCTGTTTACACGTTTTATATTCGTGTGACTTACTATCATAAGCAAGGCCACCTATTGAGCAAAATGCATAGATTAGGCTTTAAAAGAATAGAAGAGTACCATGTTAGCAGATGTCTATTCGAATCTATTGCTCTCTGTTTACATTCACAGTTCTAACAACTGATGACTGCTGAGTGTAGGATACATATTTGTATGTGTATTTATCCTTACTTATTGAGATATGTTTATCTTTCTGATGCCGACTTGTTCGAGAAATATATTGAAGTTTTTTTCTTTTTCTTTTTTTTTTTTTTACAAATGTAGACTTTTAAAAAATTAGTGTGCTTGAAGAGACAGAGAAAATATATATTCATCTTTGTTTTCTTTATGCATTTTGAAGAAAAAAAAAAGAAAGTCCATTAAAATGATAAATGCATCTGTTGCTTGACTAAACAAGGTTTCTTTTACATATGCAAAGAAGACTTATCAATAATGAAAACATTCAGATAGAAAATGTTTAATAGAAAAATCTTTTGAATATTGTAAAATATTGGCCTTCATGAATTTGAGAATAGATATTCATACACTAATCAAACCAATATTAACAACTTGAATTCATTAGAATGATAATATGTATCATAACAATTATAGATGAAATTGATTTTTGTTTGTTTCTTTGTCTAATTGATTCCATCATATCATTCCATTATTCTATTATAGTATAGAAAAAGCTTAGATTTATATTTCAATAATGATTGTATTAACAAACTAAATAATTTATAGAGAAACGATTAGAGTTATCATCTGAAAGAAAAATGCCTCAAAACACCTAAATATACTGGACGGGGATCAAATTCAAGAAATTCCTAAAATCTTACATCAGATCAACAGAAAATTTTTTTTTTCATGAGACAGTTAAAACTAGATCTCAGATTAAATGATGACTATAATCATTAATCAGGATAAAATCTATTTTTTTTTCAGCTTTATTTTTGATTAGTGTTCCAATATTTCTAGATGACGTATCCGTTAGTTCTTATTTGACACCACAGCATTATCACCTAAGAAAAACATTTTTACTGATCCTGTAGTATAATGTTATGCTCATTTTACTAAATAATCTTGAGTGAATATTTTTTTGAAAAAAATTATTCTGAAAGAGACAAAACTGAGTTCTTGATATATAACGACTTCTAGCAACGAGATGAGTTTGTTCTTCCTCAATATCAATATATGGAAAATATTTTTCGATTAATGAACTATATATAAGTTTGTCATAATAGATATCATTGATTTACTGAGAGAACTCGAAATGTTTTGATCACATTTGCAATGAATAAACTTCTGCTGATAAGTTGTAGTGAAAACATGATAGAGATCTTGAGCTTTTGTTATTAGGAAAAATTCAAGTCAATATTAATAATCTATGAAAGAATTAAAGCAATAAAAAATTTCTAAAAGTAATTTACAAAATATTACATTTCTTTTTACAAAACCAAATGTATTGTTTTAGCTTCGATTTGTAAGTCAAAAAGTTTTAATTCAATAAATAAATTTAAATCATATACATATATGGAAATTGTTTGTTTGCATTTATTCAAATAATCACTGGATTTTTGAAACTATGACGAACTTAGTGGCCTATATTACTTTTGTAGAAATATAGATGAAGCTCGGAACATTCTAGATTACGTGACCAACAAAGAAGCATATTTTTCAAGCAGAAAATGATGAAAATTTTGAAGAAAATGAGGTTTAGAGACAGAAAATGAAGCTCAAAATAAACTTTGTATGAATTTTATTGATTTGATAAATCGTAACATTTCGACACCTATTCAAAAAACAATATGACAATACAATAATTGTTAAATAAAAATTAGCAATTTGTCTTTTCGATGTAATGTTAAACATATGATAGTGAGATGGAGGTAGAAGACAATTTTGATTATTGAAACTTTGCTAATTTTTATTAAATAATAATTCATTTGTAATTTTAACTTATAAATAAAAAAAAACATATGTACACAAATGCGAAACAATACACTGTCATAAATATTAATTAATTCGGAAGAAAAGTTTGTTTCCAAGACTGTGTTAAGTGCAAAATAATTTACACATGGAAAGTTACTGTAATTGAGATACGTATCTTTGCCCAAGGAACTGAGCTAGTGTTAGTTATAACAAACTGTGCAGTTACATAAAAAAACATTCAACCATCATATAATGTATGTAAGAAATGATTTGTATCGAAAGAGCCAATCAGATTAGCACAGTGTATCAGATGAATTGGAAGTGGGGTAATAATGGCCTAATTAAAAGCACCATTATAGAATGGAATACTTATTTTCTTCCTCTGAAGTATCCATCAGCGAACATACAAGGTCACGTCTAAGATGATGGACTAATATTACGTTTTCAAAAACAAGTATGGAAAGAAAACTAAAACATCATGTATGTCATTTAGCATTGAGTAGATTCATTTGTAAGATTTGAAAGTAGAAGAGTCGAACCATGAAATTGTATTTTTCACTGATATTGATAATCGTTGGGACGCTTGCAACTGGTGCTCTTTGTGCGACGCGTACCCAAATAACACTGTCTAAATACAATACACTCCAATTTTCATGGACAATCGCTCAAGTTGAAGCTGCAGTAGGTGGACCGAGTGAATGCCTAAGTGAAACACCATCAACACTTACCATCCAATACGATGGTACATCATTGGTCACCTTTGCGACATTGACTTTTGTCAATGGAAAGCTCGCATCAAAAGCACAAGCGGGCTTGTGTTAAGAATATTCATTCAGAAAGTAATCAATTTCAAACACTAGAGTGAAAGTATTAGATAAAACTGTAAAGGTCTTTTTATTATCTAAATAAATATTGTACTCTAGAATTTTTAATGATGTTGACTGCGTACTAACTACATTCAGCTTGTTGAAGTACTGAAAACTATTGATCAAACACTATCTTTGTACACCATTCTATATGAAGATGAATAACGCACTCGTACGAAATGTCGTGAGAATTTATTTCAATTTATGATCTGGCGTATATGAGAGTGTGCAACTATCACATAAGACTTTTCACTAGGAAGGCTATGAAGATATCATTATTCGCGATGATTTAAGAGACCCCATTCAGAATTGATTTCGCACTTAGAACGGACCGTCTAAGCTGGAATTTTCATGAACAATTAGTCGTGTAGTGAGAAACGCTTGTGGTAAAAATTCCAGCATGATATACCTCACTCGACCAAATTTCTAGATTATTTTCCTATCTTTCAGGAGAATCGAAATAACTTCGTCGTTATAAGGGGCACAGAGCTTGAGCTGGTTTCAAATTAAAGCTAGCTTCTGTGCGCAACTTTTTATCGAACGAAATTTTGAAACTCCCTTCCATTCATTTTTATGAGCATTTTAATGGACATGGTGTTCAAAATAGAGCAAAATAAAAGGTGATTCCACAAGTGTAAATCCCACTTTTTGTAGTCCAGGAATCAAGTATCAAAAATTCGAGCGATGAAAAATTAGTTCTGACTAAGACTTTAAAAAAAACAGAAACATCAGTTACACTCGAAGTCGAGTGGGAGTTATTTCAATTTTCCTGTCTAGAAACCATATTCGTAGCAAAAAACGCTAAAGTATTTTTAGAAATGGATAAAAAATTCAAATGCGAGTATGACACAAGCAAGAGATTATTGCGACTGTCGATTACGAACATGAAAACTTATATCTTTGCAATACTCTATTGCACATTGCCACGCTTTTATATCAGAAAGTACCAATTTTGTTATTTACATATTTATGTTCACAATCAATGTTTTATGCTTTGTCAGTAGCGATCTGTGCAGATATTTAGGAAAGAGTTATGTAAGGGGTGTTATTTCAGATAGGAATAGATAATGCATAGTAACATCAATAATGCAGCGTTCAAACAACATGTTTTATTTTACATAAAGAATCGCTTTGCTACTTAGATGAAACTATCATGAGGAAAAAAACAGATCAAACTAGAAGACTACCTCAACAATTTTCTGTAGCTCAACTCTTGCATCTTCATTGTTTCCCAAATAAAGCATGCAGTTGTATAACTGAGAGAATTTTCTGCTTAATTGACATTTGAATAAATTCATCATTATCATCAAGTTATTATTTACTAAAACACGAATTATTATTATGAAGATGCTTTGTGCAAAAGGCTCAGAATTACTATTGGAAGAATCACATTAAAGTTATTTTAATGTTCTTTTCCGAACCAAGTAAAAATAAATCTAAATATTACTACGTAAGATCAACAATTTTTCTATCCCGACAAGCAAA